GTGACGAATCCTTTATTGATCAATCACAACTTTCATACGATTCTTGCGTACCCGAACGATGTCGTATTAGCGGCCCTTTTCAGAGCAACATCCAACACCGCCAAAGTATGACTGTCCTCATATAGGGTACTATGACGACCTCAAGTCAAAGGATTAATCCCACTACCGAACGTTAGAGATTAGCCACTGACACTCAGATAGTTATCCATGTGGAATCTCTCGACGGGTCTCCAATGTTTTGTTCTACAACAAAACATCCACATGTTCATTTAAGTGTCACCACACTTTAGCTCGTGAGATCAGCTACTTACTTCACGAGTAAGAAATGCCACACGTGATGGTCTAACTGTATTAACGATATCCGTATCTCGTTATTACTTACGACCATGGTTTATTCAAGATCCAATTATATGTAATTTGTATCTCACAATCACAACTCCTTGTGATTAACAGATTACCTAAAAATTGGGTCTTCGGATTCTATTATTTAATATTATTTATCACAAAATCAATTTAAATAAATAATAGATCTCGCCAAAATCAAATGCATTAAATATATTAAAAGCGTTTACAACCTAAATCGATTGGATCTAGGGCATAACACTTACAATTAATTGCAACGTTGAGTCCTTCTGCTCCATAGAAGAGACTGCGCGTTCGAGTGGATTCTTGGGTGAATCTGGGTGTTCGGTGTTGAACAAAAGGGTTCTTGGATCTGAGCCTTCGATTGATTAAACTTTTGATCTCCAGTTGTTAGTGTCCTTAGAATATTGTATAGACCTGGTAGATTTGTTGTAATCTCATATCATTTTTGTATATCACCTTCCTTTCAATTCCCATAAACAGATTTCAACTGGGGCTCCCTTCTACGCATAAATGGCGGATTCACTCGCAGGGGATGCTACAGGAGTAGCTTTTGATCTTTTAATGAAAGCTGTATTAGACGTAGCCATGAGGGTAGCCAGTTTCAGGTCCGAACTCGACCACTTGATAACGACTCTGATTTCAATCAAGCCATTTGTCGAGGACATAGAGAAGCTGAACGGAGTGCTAAACTACCGACAAGAAGGAGCAGAGACGCTCAATAATCGGTTTGAACAAGGCGAAAAGCTCATTCGGGAGTGCTTGAAAATCAAGCGGTGGAATCCAATCCAGAAGTATTTGTACGCGAAGAAACTGAAAGAATTTGAAAGCTCGTTGTTGTGGTATTTTCAGATAGATGTACATGTTGAGTTGGCTAGAGATGGCAAAAATATTTCCGCTGGAGTAAATTTTCTTCAGGAGAAAATGGATAAAGTAATTTCTATTCAAAATAATGATAGTGGGTTTTCAGGTACTACTCTCCCATCCTAGATAAGACTGTAATTAGTTTGTAAATATGAATAAAAACAACTTCCCTTACATTGTGGTTTGATTAACAAAAAAATGGGTTTTCAGGTTGGTGTGGTGTTCCGGGAGTTCCGGATTTTGTGGTTGGATTAGACGTGCAGCTTCAGGAACTGAAGGCGATGCTTCTAAAGGATGAAGTGCCAATTGTTGTGCTTTCGGGTCCTTGTGGCTCTGGAAAGACTACACTGGCGAAATTGCTCTGTAATGATGATGAAATTAAAGGTAATCTATGAGTTTAATATTGATGACCTTGATTTTTGTTACTTTTTCTTTTTTCTAATTGGCATTTTTTCTAGTACTTGCAATCTGCGTAATGGAAAAGAGTCGTCTATTAAGGGGTTGGTGATTCTTGTGAAGTGCTCTTTAAACTTTACGAGAACAAGAAATCACAAGAAGATTGTTTGAACTTTGATCAAGAACCAAAACGAACTAGTCCTATGTTAATCTTTAGGGCATCTCCTACCCATATTCCACTGCACCAAATTTTTGGTATAATCCATCTCCAACCCATTGCACCATTTTGCACCAAAATGGCTAAGTACCTTTTTCCCCCTTTTTTCCATTTTACACTAAATTTTCGTTAAGGGTATTTGTGTCCATTTTTTTATACAACAAATTTTAATTTCTAATTTTATTGTATTATTATTTTATTATGGTTGTTGTTGTACAACATTTAATTAATTTATTAATGAATTCAGACCTTGTTTGAGCCCCATTTTGGTAGAAAAATGTATTTTTGAATAGTATATTGATGAGAAATGTATGGTTAAAAAATAAGGAAAAATTTTGAATTTACGTGTAATATTATTTTATTGAAGAATGTATTTTTTTCAAAAATGGGGCTCAAACAAGGGCCAATATTTTTGTTAATTAAACATAATTATTTAATTAGTAATTTATGTAGTAATAAATAAATAAATAATTTTTGAGATAAATAAATTGTTAAGAATGATAAAAATGTAGAAAATGATTTCATTCGGCACAACTTTTAATGTAATAGATTGAAGATTGCAAGTTTGGTGCAAGATTTGATGCAAATTTGTGCAAAATTTAATTCAAATTTTGGTGTAGGGTTGGAGATGGCCTTAGAGTATTATTTCTTGTTCTTTGTTTTCATCTTCTTTTATTGAACTTGATGTAGGATGTTATGGAATAGTTATAGGAGAAGGGGTAAGGAAAGAGAAGAAGAGAAATGAGAGCCAAAGAGAGGAGGTACAGAAAGGAGAGAAATCGGGAGAAAATATTAATTTATTTTCATTATCAAAAGCTGTTTGAATTACATCACATAAGATCCATGTATATATGGTTTAAACTAGTCCTAATTAAAGTAGAAAAATACTATAAAATCAATATCAATTATGTTTCCTAAAATAAGCTTCAAATTGGAAATTAAATTAAATAATATATCTTTTAATATTCTATCATGTTTCCTGGGCTGAGAAATCGGGTCCGACAAGATAGGTTCCAATTTCTTAACCAATGAGGGGCGATCTTTCTTTTTGGCCAAATAATGAAACCAACTATGTGAATAATTGAATTTGAAACTCAGTCATAAGCATTTGATTTGACCAAGGGTAGCCACCCTGATAGGAAAACAATTCTTCTATAGTAAAAACAAAATTTTCATGTAAGTGTAGTGGTCAGTCAAATAAATTAAGTTCAAGTGAGTGATCCTTACATATTTTGGAAATCATACCAAAGAAATAGCATAAAAATCTTCATGAAAGCACGTGTGGCTTAAATTCTGAGCAAAATGCTAACTCGTGTACTTTGAAACTTGGCATGAAAGTGAATAAAGGACGAAGCTAAAAGAACATAATAGTACTTAGTAGGTAACAATTGAATATAAATAGGAAAAAGTGTGTGAACAAAAAACGACTTTGAAAAATGTAGCAATCAGGGAAGTATCACACAGTGGAGATAAAGCCATATCAAAATCAAAATGCAGAATTGATGTTCATCAGGAAATCCAAACAAGCCAAGCCACCAATTTTAAACTACCACAGTGAAGGAGTTTGAAGCTCCAAATTTTCTTGCAACCTATATTCACAAAAAAATAAAAAATAAAAATCCCCAAATAATTTTTAAGAAGAGGTAATAGAACCAATTTGCAGAAAATTCAAATTTCAAACTCCAGTTCCAAAATAATAATGATATCTAGCATGAGTCTGTATGACTACAATTTATAAATTCAATTAAATGAGTCATGTGACTTTACATTTAAGCCCTTATTTGAGCCACATTATTTTCATAAGAACGCATTTTTGAATAATGTATGGGTGAAAATTATGTGTTAAAAAAATAAGGAAAAGTTTTGGACTTGTGTGTAATATTATTTTATTGAAAAATGTGTGGTTGAAATAATCTCATCACTGTTTAAGAATGTAAGAATGTGGCTTAAACAGAGCCCATAAATCTATTATTGTAACTGTCACCTAGATTCGTGTTCAACATCAAATAAATAGCATTATTCAATCTATAAACTCCAAATCGTCTATTGCGAAAGATTTTGCACACTTGTGGTAGGCGTGTGAGGATGTCGGCAACCGAGTGGGAACTAAAGCTGGAAAAACAGCAAAAGGTTGAATGATGTGTGAATTGTTGGTTGAGAAAGATAAGTTATGGATGGTGGCAGGGGTGATAATGAGCACGGGATCAGCTATGTGGTTCTTTCTACTGTTAGGGCCAATAGTAGTTTATGATGGTATGGCAAAAGCTTCTTGTCATCGATCAGAGCTGGTGACTTTCTACTGTTAGGGCCAATAGTAGTTTATGATGGTATGTCAAAAGCTTCTTGTCATCGATCAGAGCTGGTGACTGGGTCTTGGTTAGCGGGTATAGGATGGCGTTGGATCCAAATTTGAAGAAGAGGGTGATGGCGGCTTGATATAAGTTGCCAACATCAAAGTGGTAGCCGGTGGCGGACATAAGTAGGGGTGTGAGAGTTACAAGGTTTATTGTGCTGGGGTAGCTGGTTGCGTGTGATGGGCTTGGATAATGCACTTCGTAGACTTTTGTGTGACAAAGGGTATGGGTGCGGGTATGGGTTCGGATTTGTATACATGGTTTGTGGGTTTGAGGGATTATTTATGATGAAAATTACACCCACACATAACTTCTAATTTTCCAATTCAAAAATCAAGTTTAACATTTCTTTATTAAAAAATGAGATTATAATTCAAATTTTTAATATTAATAATAATATTATAAAATTAAATTAATCTACATAGGCATTTTACCTCACCCCATCCCATCCACCCCCAACAAATTTCATTCTCAAATTGTAATCATTTTCCTCTCTCTCTTCTATGTATCATCCCCTTTCTCTCTTTTCTTTCTTCATCACATGTGGAAGACCACTGTAGCATATGATGCTCAGACTCTTCAAAATAGTCAGATCATCCATGTCCTACACGACACGACATGGGTATGGCTATGGGATGGGATATGTGTCAGATCCTCCAAATTTCAATCGGACACTTAGTCCTTTTTGCTTTTTCTTCTTTCTTCTTCCTTCCTTCGTTCTTTTTTTTTATTTTTTCCTATTTTCCATTACTTTTCCTTCTCTTCTTTCCTGTTTTCACTCTCCATAAACCTAGCATCAACATCGAGAGGGTGAAGAAAGACGATGGCGCTAGGTTTTCCCTTCTTTTTCTTCTTTTTTCTTTCCATTTTCTTCTTTATTTTCCTTCTTTCTCTCCCTGTAATGGTGGTTTGAGGGTTTCATTTGTATAAAATAAAAATGGATTCCATATAGTGCTAGTTAGTACTCTAGTACATCCAAATTGCAATCAATCCCTCATTTTCTATTTTATATAACATTTAGTAATTCCCATAGTTGTAAACTAAACCCCAATATTATATTTTATTCGTCTTAACCCCTTATTCAATACTCAATTCCTTCTTTGTTAATAATTTATTTTGGTCTATTCAAAATGACATTTTGGATTAGTAAAATAATTGAAGTTTGAAAGAAATACCCACGTACCCTATCCAAAACTTAGACTCTTTTTAACCATGTCCCCGTATTCTACATTTTGAAAAAAAATAAAATATCTGACACTAAGATACTTACCCGTACTGGAATCCAAGCATCATAGACTATAGCGGCTCAATGTAAGTGTCGCGCATAGCATCGTGCACAGCGAAGATGACGTCGTTGCGCAGCGGTAATGAAATTTTTGTTGGGTTGGTTTATTTCTTAATCGATACGATCTGATATGCTGCTTAGCTGGAGTTTTGGTGTGGTTTTTGTTGGTAGTTTGCAAATGGTGATGGTAAGATGGTGGAGTTATAGGCAGTGGTGGTACTCATGATTGTGGTGAGGTGATGGTGGTATTGACGACCACGGTATAGGTGGTGGTGAAGCTAAGGTGGTGCAGTGTTCAGCTAGTGCTTGTTGGAGTGGGGGTGATGGATAGTGTTTATGACCAATTATTTGGCTGATTATGAGGAATAAATAATATGCTATCAATAATATAGATAATTTGTGACCAATAATAATATGTAACCTAAAAAGGTGAGATTGCGACTAAATTTAGAATCGTGACTCACAATTTGTTAAGTTGTGATCAATTAATTTGATGATTTTTGATTGTGAAATAAGTTGTGATAGAAAAAAAAATTGTGATTTGTGATCCAGAAATAATACAATACATGACTTATTAATTTGATAAATTGTAACTTATGCAATTTGTAGTTTGTGATCGAAAACTAACACTTGGCCAATTAATTTGATTATTGGAATCAATAAATAAGTTGTGACCTATAAAATTTTTGATTTGTGAATGTGATGTTCTATGATTGTAAGTAGTACGTAACTATGATCACAAACTGTATAATATTTTGCTCTTAATATATTTAATTAATAAAATATTTTTAGTCAACTATTTAATTAATAAAATTTAATTATGACCTTATTTTTAAAATTTTAAAACAAATTTCTTGATTTCGAAATTGTATCTTTCAAACAGTATCATGTATCATTCCCTTATTTTGAGATAGGTCTGTTATGTTTGTTTTGTGGGCTATATATTGTTAATGGGCTACAGGGCTTGAGTTAAGTTGGGGTTCCGTTACTGGAGTGTGAGCTGGGGAATTGGGTTTGCATGAGGGCTGGAGTGTATATAAGTTGTGGGCCCAATTTGATTGTTAGGCTTGTGTATATATGGTCAGGATTACAGTGGGCTGGGAATTGGTATCGAGTGTATGGGGAGTGGCTTATGGAATACATGGGCTAAGGTTTAATTGGGCTGGAATATTGGAAAGGATAGGTCAAGCTAGTAATGTCACTTCGGCTTGTTGGCTTGGACAATAGTGACTTGGCTCGAAACAAGTCGAAACTGGCTCAATAGAGTTGAGCCTCATTTTTGGACATCGGCACGAATTTGAGCCGGCTCGTGTTTTGAAATGCAGGTATCTATGCCTACGTTAAGCAGTTGTAGCTGTCTTTACTTTAATTAAATAAATTATTAAAATTTAGAATTTTAATAAAAAATTTAGTAAAAATCAACATATAATTTTAATTTTATATTTTTTTAGATTTTATAATATTTTTATCCATGCATTTTATTAGATTTTATTAAATTTACTAATAATTAATATTTATTTATACCGAACAAGGGACTTAATATAGACCGACGTTTAAAAGGTTAAAATGAATAACTTGATATGTCTAATATTAGAACAAACGATTGGATTTCAAGATTGCACATAATTATTTGTTAAAAAAAAAAATTTTTAATCTCAAGACTTTAAGAAAAAAGCATGTACCCTAGCAAAAACATGTACCCTAGCTGAGTCTTAATTTTGCGGCCGTGCCAACTTAGGCCAAATAAGCCCAAACTATTTTTTACATGAGCTGGCTCTGCTCAACTTGTTTACATTCCTAGGCCAAGCAGCATCGAAAGGTTAGCTGCAATTGAAGTCTTGATCTTTTTTTATACAATGAATTAAGTAGAAGGAAAAAAAAAAAAAAAAAAAAAGACTTTCTACGCTGTTTCTCGATTTTATTTTATTTTTTACTATTGAAAAACTATCTGTAAAAATTGAAGCAGAAAAAAGAACTTTGCGTTGCTGCTACCCTCTTTGTATTTAGTTTGGGTTACAGCAAAGAGGGATTGTATATTTTGGATTAATGGGTTTGGTTATGGTTTTGAAAGTAAGGGTTTGTTGGTGGTTGGAGAGGTGGATACAGATGGTTGAGAAATGAAGATCTGACCTGTTGGTCAAGAAAAATGGGATTTGAGATCTAATATCAGTAGCAATTATAGGAGAAGGGAAAAGAAAAAAGGGAAGAGAATAAGAGAAGAGAGGGACAAAGGGAAAAGAAGAGGGATGGAGGATGAGAGAAATTGGAAGAGAATATTAATTTATTTCATTATCAAACTTTAATTATGTTTGTTAAAATAAGCTTCAACATAAAAACTAAATTAAATAATATTTCTAATATTCCATCACAACTATTGTTGCTCATCTTTGAATCACCCATTGTAAACATACTCATGATTGTCGCTCTAATGTATAACGAAGAATCTTATGCCTCAAACGTTGGTAATAATATCCTCTATGATCTTGTATCTTGATTATCTCATGTTTTTCATAGGGAAATATGGGAATAATATCTTCTTTCAGATAGTCTCAAGATCACCTAATCTCCAGCTAATGGTTCAAAAAGTAATTCAGAGTAAGAAAAACCAGCAGGTGCCTATCTCTGAAAATGATGAAGATGCAATATACCAACTAAAACAGTTTTTCCTGCGGCAAATAGGACCATCTCCCATGCTATTAGTCCTGGACGATATGTGGTCAGGATCGGAGTCACTCATTGAGCATTTCCTTCTTCCAATACATGGATACAAAATTTTGGTTACATCAAGATTTGTGTTTCCACGATTTCAATGGACTTATAAATTGAATATGTTGAATTATCAAGATGCAATGACTCTATTTCGTCATTATGCCTTTAGAGATGGGGTCTGTACGGTGCAAAAACATCTTGTAGGAGAGGTAAAAGCATGCTCTACTAAAATACATCTTTAGAACAGTTTACGAGTAACATCAATATTGAACTTAGTTCATTTTTCTGTGTGTGGCACATTTTTCTCTCATGTTATTATAGCTTTTTGACTCTACCCGAAACATTAAACTACACCAAGAGCGACAACTTTTCTTGTCAAAACTCATTTGGTTAGGTTTAGATGTTAAAATTTTATGAATGGATTATTGAGAAATTTATTCACCGTACTCTAAACCTTAGCTGATGTTGCTTGAGGAATCATATGGCAGGTGGTCAGAAGTTGCTCAGGATCTCCATTGGCCCTCACAGTTGTTGGCAAGTCACTCTATAGGCAGCCTGAGGACAATTGGATTCGTACAGTTCAAAATTGGTCCCAAGGGCAATCCATTTACGACACCAACATGGTTTTGCTTAGTCGTCTCAAAACTAGCTTAGATGCCTTGGATGGAATGGCAGTCCTCAAGAATTGTTTCTTGGATCTATGTTCATTTCCTGAAGATCAAAGGATCCATGCTGCAGCTCTTATGGATATGTGGGCGGAGCTGTACAACCTTGACGAAAGTGGCATGTACACCCTTGCCTATCTCAAGGAACTCTTAAATAGAAATCTGGTTGATCTTACTCTTGTCAGGTTTGTACCTTTCTTTTCATTTTTAAAGGATTATGCTACACTTGAAGAAGTATGCTCATCTGCACATATGATTTTCGTGAAAACAAGCAAAAAGTGAACATATTTATGCAAAGGTGGAAGTCACACTTGTTGAGCACGAATGAGAGAGTTAAGCAAAACAATTGGTTTCTAGAGATGAAGACAATCTGAGACAACTGGAAAGTGGAGTAGAATTATCCATGTTAATACAAAACAAGTGAAATGCAAGAAACATGTATACTAAACTTTGATAATGTGGCTACAAGCTTGCTACATAACTTTTAAGTAGTTTATTTGATAATCCTTTGCCCTCAACGCGTCCCTTTTGAGTGTAGAAAAAGGAAAAATGTCGGAGGAAAATAGAGGTTTACTAACTTGAATTGGCTGAGGCTTTTAGGAAGGACGAAATTATTAGGAAGAAGTAAGTGAACAAGAATGAAACTTGTATTTTCAACTTCAAACTTTGCACAATTGGCTTGTTACAAAATAGGACTTCTAGAAGGCGATCGATTCAACAGATATGCAGCACAATTAACAGCTTCAGCCCAAAGTTCTTTGGGCAACTCTTACTTTTGAGCATGCAGCAGGCTATGTTAAGAATGAATCACCAGAAAAAATAGATTCTAGTTTCTTTCTTTCAACTACCCCATTTTGTTGTGGAGTGTATAGAACCGTCAATGGCCGATGAAATCCGTTCTTCTCACAATATTTCTCAAACTCTTTAGAGGTAAATTCTCCTCCATTCGATCTCATAGCTTTTATGCTATAGCCATTTTCTTTTTCAACAAGAGCTTTAAACTTCTGAAAGGTTCTAAAAACTTTCGATTTTTGTTTGAGAAAATAGGCCCAAGTCTTTCTATGAAAATCATCAATAAAAAGAACAAAGTATTGCTCTTACTGAGAGAGCTTGGATTAACTGGCCCACAAACATCCGAGTGTATGAGTTCTAGCCGCTTCTTAGCTCTTATAGATGCTTCTATTGGAAAAGTTTTCCTTAAATACTTTTGAAGTAAGCATCTTCACATAATTGATCCACATGATTTATTAGAGGCAAACATTTCACTATCTTTTTCTTACTCAACAACTTTAAGCCTTTTCTTTCACTGAGATCTTGGATTTATTTCCAAAGGTAATGTTGCCACTTACTGATTCATTGAGCTCCATGAAATGTTTTTTCTTCCATATGGTTGCTTGCTCCCGTATCCAATTACCAAATGTTCTTTTATCCGCTTTCTTCACCTTTGTAAGCCAACGTAGTGCAGAATCCACTTCACTTTCCCGACTTGCATAATTGGCTTTCTCCTCAACGTTTTTAGTAACATTTCTACATTCTGAAGCATAATGACGTAGGTTTTGGCAATTGTAACATTTAACTTGAGATATGTCATACCTTGACCTTTCATTTTGCCTCATACCTATTCCTCTTCCACGACCTCTAGTGGAAAATGAGCTTTGTCTTCTTTCCTCCTTGTAGAATGCACTTCTTCCTTGATCTTGGTCTCATCCTCTTCCTCTTCCTCTTCCTCTTTGGCTTCTTCTATTGCCTAACTTTTCGTCACCCTCATTCAAAGTGAGTTTTGTTCGAAGAGCTTGCTCTAATGGCTTTTCTTCTACCTTCTTCTTTAGCCTTTCCTCATGGGCTTGTAAAAATCTCATGAGTTGATCGACACTCACTTTCTCAACTCTTTTGTGAGAGTTTGGCAGATCTCCCATGCTTTCTTACTCGTAATAGCTCAAGCTACTTTCTCGAACATGCCTTCATCCTTCAAACTATCCCTTTGTACTTGGGATATAGTGAAATCGTCTTGTGGCTCCTTGTAGCCTGCCTCTACGATTTCCTATGCATCTTACGACCCGAGCAACACCTTCATCCTTATGTTCCAATTGTCGTAGTTATCTTTGTTGAGTTGGGGGATTTGAAAATGAATCATCCTACTTGCCATTTTTCTCAAAAATCTCAGGGCTCTGATACCAATTTGTTGGAGCAAAATAGAGGTTTACTAACTTGGATTGGCTAAGGCTTTTAGCAAGGACGAAACTATTAGGAAGAAGTAAGTGAACAAAAATGAAACTTGTATTTCTCAACTTCAAAACTCACACACTTGGCTTATTACAAAATGGAAGGACTCCACCCCTTTATATAGGACTTACATGAAATATCTAGACCATACATTTTTCTAGAGACTCCTATTTACATTAGACTTTTTTTACCACATATTTGGACAAGACGTTTTCCTAGAATACTCTAGATAGAGTTTATAAAATCGCATAATCTTCTTAACACATTACCACATTTATCACATCTTTTACTTAGATAGTTACATAGATTTTTCTAGACAATGTTTTAATTGAATTCAGCCTATGAGTAAAATCCTTAGGTCCATATTATTTAGTCCAAAAATCAAGTTTACTTCTGAATAAAAAATACAGAAGCAAAGTTATCACAAAACTAGAGGATTTAGCGTTCAGTGAATTTGCTTCTTGGTAAAGATGAATAAAAAATATATAAATTATCCAGCAGAGTTCCAGTGTTTCAGTGATATTGTGCTATGTTTAATAAGTTTTGCCGATAATATAATGATGTTACTGCCTTGTTCATATTGTCAGATTGAATTTTTATTTGTTTTCTTTTGCTTCCTTTTTTGCCCTATGGAACATTGCGAAAGGTCAGGTTTTTAAGCAGAATTAGATAAGAAAGTTTTCTTAGAATTTCCAATCTACAGCAATTACAGTTCCTTACATAAATACCATTGTCTTTGAATATGTCCAAATGCAAATCATTGTACAGGCAGTTATTGGACACCACTTATAATCTAGGTTCATTTAACAAAATTGTTTCAATTAACTTATCTCATTTTCCTCTGCAGAAAAGATGATCAGGATGACACTGACTACTGCAAAGAGCATTTTGTAATGCAACTTCGTCTTCTGAGGGATATGACTATCCACCAAAGTAAACAAGGTTCCATAGAAAAGAGAGAGAGACTCATTGTGAAAATCAATGGGAATGCCCTTCCCGAGTGGCTAACCGATCAAAAACAGCAACACATCAATGCCCACATTTTATCTATCACCACAGGTTCATAATCTTTTTTACTCTCCCTTTCTAGTTATAGATATCTAATGTCGTTACCCTCTTTTTTACAGATAATGCATTCTGCTCAAACTGGTCTAAAGTGAAAATACCTGATGTTAAGGTTTTAATACTGAACTTTCAAGTCAAAATCTATACAATACCAGAATTTATGGAGAGAATGAGTTACCTGACAGTTCTGTTAGTGACGAATTATGGTTTTACCCAAGCATACCTAGAAAACTTTCCATTGCCTAGTCAGTTAACCAATCTAAAGAGACTTAGGTTGGAGAATATTTCCATCCACTCTATTGCTACTTCCATTCTGCGGCTAAAAAATTTGCAGAAAATATCCATGACCATGTGTGAGATAGGGAAGGCATTCGAAGAATGCACAATTTCGATGTCCAATACATGGCCAAATCTCAACGAGATAAATATTGTATATTGTGACAACTTAATTGAAATACCAGCATGGGTTTGTGGCCTTATCCATCTTAAGAAGATCAAGTTGAGATACTCTCATGAGTTGGTTACTCTTCCAGCAGAATTGGGAAATCTGACAAATTTAGAAGAGCTGAGTCTTCAGTCTTGTACGCAACTTCTAGAGTTGCCGGAATCAATTTCTGGGCTTAGGAAATTGAGGTTCCTTGATCTGTCGGACTGTGTGGAAATAGACCACTTGCCAGAACGGTTAGGCGACTTATGTGGGCTGCGAAGAATATGCATGATGGGTTGCACTGCTTTATCTGAGCTGCCGACTTCAGTAAAGGATCTTGTGCAGTTAGAACGTGTGATATGTGATGATGAAACAACATACTTATGGAATTCCTGCAAGGATTATCTGGATAAGTTGGAGATTGTTGTTGTAAAAGAAGATATAAACCTTAACTGGTTTCATCAGTGACCTGCTTGAAAATCTTTGTTAGCACAACAGGAGATCTCAAGCTAAACAACGAGTCTCACACCGCCCTCAGGGCTAAGGAAAGGTAAATTACCTCCCTTGAAAACTTTTGAGCAGCAGTCTACGATTCTACTTTATAGTGCAATTGATAATTGATTACCTTAAATCTGTATTATTGAAGATATTGTAGGATGAGATTGGAAATGGTAAATAGTTATTTTATCAATAAAGTGATGAGTTTTATAAACAAAATGGTAATCTTGAAGACGTTGAAGTAATCTGAACCATAAGCCTTGTATCTCTGTATTTGTCCACAAATTGGTGCAATGGAACCCTTCGTAAAGGTGTGAAGTTATCACCCCAAAAAAATAAATCTATATGGTAGGAGGAGAGTTGAGAGTTACACCAAGTTCCTTGATAAAGCTCTCCACATGTAGAATAATAGTACGATACTTGGCCACGGTGGAGGATCGAGCTATTGTTGAATTATCCAAACAAAGTAATGGCTAATGAAATTTCATGAACATTTAGTGACTAGTTATATGAAAATTTCGTAAAATTCTAGGATTACGTAGTGGAAATCTGCATCAATTTCCCAACATGATTTAAATTGAAAACCATAAAAAAGGTCGGGGATCATGTACGTCCCTGTCACAATTACCCGATGAATCTCCGCCTCCATTTAGGATGGACAACTCAGAGCAGGACATTACGCTAACCCTAGCGACAATATCATAATAATTTCCAAATATTATGATAACACATGATTATATACAAATGCATATCATTTGGAATTGTTTTATTAATATTTTTATTAGGAAAATCATGATAAACATTGTCATCATCAACCTAATAAAGTTTGAATTTGATTATACTGGTATGCCAATAAGCTCAATTTCACAATTTTGATTATCCAAGAGTTAAAAATACTGGTAACTCTTGGTGCAAAACCGTGTGTATATTAACTGGTTGGCCTAAACATGGTAAAAATATTTTAGTTCCTTGGAGGTCTAGTTGAATAATTTTATAGGTAAAATGAGTTCTAATTAAGTTTTTTATTTGCTCATGATATTCACTAATTGCTATTAATTTTTTCAACTATAATTCTTGGTCGAATATTTACTTGAAACATCGATGTTTTTGTAACTAAGCATGTTTGATGTACATAATTGAAAGATACTACAATAAGATTTTGTTAATGATATGATTTTTATTGCCAACACGAGTAGCTGACTAGCTTCTCGCAAAAAAAATCAACCAAAGATGGATTGGATGAGTGGTTTTGCTTTGAATTTGTGAATTTTCATTTAAGTATTCGGATTTGAAAAATGACATGCCAACAATGAACTTTCCTCATCAAATGAATTACAAGTTTAAAATTTGAGACTTGAGATATGTTGTTTTAAAATTGTTGTCTCCTTCCTTGGCTATATCAATACATTTGGTACATCATATTTTTTGGCAAATGAAAAATATCAATTTGTAATGTGTCCGTGTAAAAAACATGTTACGTATTTTCATTTGTTAAGTAGAAGTGATATATTAAGATATACTCAAAAGACAACTAAGAGGGCAACGAGTTTGTCACAACATGTCTACGAGTTGCAGCCTACATCCGAACTGAGGATGGATTTTTGGGGTTTGCTCACCCTAGCAATTACAACATGTCCAACCCTTAAGATCTCGATTAGACTTTATGTAAGAAGAAAGAATAAGATAAGTCGATGTTTGGCCTCCATTTCTGAAATTCTTTTCTTAAAATTTATTTTCAATTACACATTTTATGAAATTTGCAATTTTTCAATCACACATTTTATCAAATTTTATCAAAATCTACTAAAATCTGATTTTTGTCAAAATTATATAGGGGCTAAATTTGCAAAGATCTTGAGAAATTCTTACTGTTAATGCCAATATATTGAGGGTTTTTCTTGTGCTCCTCAATTTGTAGTTCAAATGTTAAGGCCATTAAATATGTACTTTTGAAAGTAGGATTGACATAGCAAAATAATTACTTCGCTTATATGTACGACATATCTCAAACAGACACTTTCAATTGAAAAATAAAATCTTTGTACTTTTTATTACTCGAATCTTGGCCTTGGTATGTGAATGACTTCAAAATTGACCATAATATCATATTCACTTACATTGGTTTAGAACAATCTGCCTTTACGATAAGTGTTAAATGTGTTGAGCTGTATCAAATATATTGAATAATACTCAATAAAACTCGACGTCCCTCCATGAGAGGTCTAAATATGGTAAAAAAATCTATCTATAAATGGTACAATTATAATTGTAATATAGTTGTAATTTTCAATGATCTCCGTAATCTTTATTTAATCTCATTAACACCCTTCCTCAAATTGATGCTCGTAAAAGCGTCAACTTGCAATCATGAATTGACAACGGTGACAAATACATGTGTCCACGAAGAAGAAATCCAAAACGGGGCAGCTATCTACAAAAATTAGTGACGACGAGAGAACTATAACAACAAATAGTACAAAAACAATCAAGAACTACTACAAATCCACTTCAAGAACACTCCAAAGACACTTCAGAGAGCTTACATCCCCAAGAAGAATCTTCAAAATAGAAGAAATTCACGAAGTGTGTGTCGACACACACAGTAAGTTTTATCTATCGAGAGAACTTAGTTTAACACCTATTCCGTGTTCCGACAGAAATTCTAATTTCAATACACTAGCCAAAACTTCAGCAATACATCAGTGGCCAAGATGCTTTAGTTGGAAGATATCCTACAAAATAGCCTACACCAAAATCTAAAAAAATCTTCCTCCGAAAATTATAATTGTAATATAGTGGTTATTTTCGGCGATCTCCGTAATCTTTTATTTAACCTCGTTACCAAGCTGAACCACAAGGCTCGCCTTCCGTTGGACTTAGCTACATGAGCCTACTTGCTTCATTGAAATGCGGCTCAATTCTCTCCTTGGTGTGGCCCATCAACCTTTTTTAACCAAAATTGCTATTCCATTCGCTTGTGACAAGCCGGCTCAAAAATTTCAATAAAAACAATAAATAACATAACGCTGCTAACATCATTTCACAGAAAAATTCCTTTGTTATTTGGAGATTTGTTCATTCTTTCTTGTCATCTACTCCATATAAAACCAAAAACCGCAGCTACAATTTTCTTACCCCAAAAGTGGAGAAACATTATAAACTTACACATTCTGTCTGATGATTGAAAATTTATATGTTTTCTTCAAACAAATGAATGTAATTTACAATCTATTATATATGATTGTACTAGGATTTGATTGAAATCGAGCACATAAGCAAACACTAAACATATTATCGGGTCTACTAACAGTCAAGTAAAGAAGGGATTCGATCATACCTCAATATTTAGCCACGGATGTGCCTTGCTCATCTTTATCAAGCCTTTGGGATGCGCTCATTTGTGTATTCATAGGTTTGATGTCATGCATATCGAAAATTTTAAGCATGTTTAATATGTATTTATTTTGATTTATGAAGATTCCTTCTTTTGTTTGTTTAATTTGAAGACCATGAAAGAATTTTAGTTCACCAATCATGCTTATTGTAAATTCTTTATTCATATAATTTGAAAATTCTTCACAAAAACGATTATTTGTTGCCGAAAATAATATCGTCAACATAAATTTGAACAATAAGCAAATCCTCCTTATGAGATTTTATAGGGCTACACAAAAAAACCACGAAACCGCAAATCAAACCAAAATCGTTGAGTTGAAATCGTTGGTTTGTGTCCATGTGGACCAATGATTTTTTCCCCTCAAACTGAACCAAACCGTTTCAAAATGGTTTGATTTAGGTTTTGATTTTCAAAAACCGCACAAAACAGAACCAATCCGTTTTAAAAAAATTTAATTAAATCATTAATTTTATTAACTTAAAATTTTTTACAGTTTTCACTTTAAAAAAAATACAAATTTAGTAATAGAAACTACTACCAACCTATTAAAATAATCATAGAAGGTAAATTAGGTTCATCATTATTGGCATATGGTTTAACAAGTTCACAACACATGTTCTCACCCAATATCTAAACTAAACTAAAATTATTCCAAAATCATATGATATGGAAAAAAAAAAAAACATGTATTTTCAACAATCAAAATCATAATTCAACAAAACTACGTCAACAAATCACGTCAAAAATTTCAAAAGCCCTAACTTAAACTTGCATTTCCCTAACATTTAACACTTTTCTGTCATTACTGAACAAATCACCAGTCACCTTTACATATTAGTCTGTTAATTTCTGCACGAATCACTCCTTTCTCTCTTCTATTTCGATAAGTCTCAGATTTTCATTCAAGCTATTTTTTCGTTGTTCTTTTTTTTATTTGTTATTTTTAAACTTATTAAACACTTGTGAATTGTGGTTTGATAGAAAAATAACTCTTTTTGTAACTAGATGATTAATGAACTTCTTTGTGGTTTGAAAAGAACGAGGGACAGATTGTACTGATTATATGAAAATTTTAAAGTTCCCTAACTAATACTATTACATTGTTCTTTCATAAAATAGTTAAAGAATGAAATTCGACAATTTCCAATAAGTCGAAATTTTATCAATCTTTGTACATTTAAACATATTCCGTTCAATCCTCATTTAACATCTCATTAGCAAGACGAAGTGAATTTTAACCAAACTATATTAGTAGAATGTAATTCTACCTATATCAACTGCTATATGATAATATGAATGTCAAACAAAAAAAAAGTAAATAAAAATGAAGAAAGATGTATTTGTTCTATTAACATATTTTAGCAATCAACTTTGAAAATAATTTATTCATGGGTTTCATGGTAAATATGAATATAATTTAATATTTAACATTATTAGTTCTCGTTTAAATTTATATGTTAACTTATATTAAATATATTACTATAATGTCGATAAGTGATAAGTAAACCACGATTTAAAACCGAACTAAACCGCAAATTATGATTTGGATTGGTTTAGTTCGAAAAATAAAATGGTTTGATTTGGTTTGAAAAAACTTTAAACTGCATAAAATGATTTGAGTTTAAAATATAGCACAAACCGCCCAAATCAAACCGCGTTCACCCCTAAGATTTTACAAAGAGTGTAGTATCCGCTTTTCCAATCGAAAAACCATTTGAAAGAAGAAATTTGCTCAATCATTTGTATCAAGCTCTTGGAGATTGTTTAAAATTGTAAAGATATTTTCTTAGTTTAAAAATATGATCCAGATACTTGTAATTTT